TTCAGAGTATCCACCAGGACTTCCATCTGCCAGGTCAGAGTTGGCAGTAGGCTGATAAAGAATTAATCAATAAAATGCTGGTCAAGCTAGGAGAATCACAAATGTGAGCTAGCTAGGGCAATTTAGAGACTTAGTAAAACCCTGTCTAAAAAGGAAGTGGGGGGGTATAGCTCTGTGCAGAGATCCTGGATTTAATCTGTATGTGCAAATAAATAAATAGATAAATGTACTGATTAAGGTATGCGTATACTCAAAATATTTGGGAATCCTCTCCTAGTAATGTGACCAGCAAGGGAATGGGTGGGGGCAGCCCAGTCACAGGGGAAAGCACGGTTCTCTTCTCTCTGCTGCTGGGCTGCTCACCCACTCAGCCTGTACTCCCTCTGCCTGGTACCTGACGAATTCACAGGTTTGGTGGAGGGAGCTGCACAGCATTGATTTCACTCTTTTCATTTCCGGATGACATGATGAGCCCAGGAATGGAGGCAGGAGCAGTACTGCTTGAGCAACCCTTGCAACCCACAGAAATTCTTAGGCTGCTGCTGCTTCTCTTTGTAAGAAGGCTGCATTCCATCCTATTGACTGAGTCTTCACCCCATCTTCCTGGTGTCCATTCCTTCCTCAACCTTCTGTGGTCTGTTTACTGCTCCTGAATCCTGGTAAGTCTGTACACACACACACACACACACACACACACACACACACACACACACAGACACACACACACACACAGACACACACACACACACACACACACTGCCTCCAAAGAAGCAATCTTCAAAGCAGGTTTGACCTTCACCCTTTCTTTTCTTCTTTCTTTCTTTCTTTCTTTCTTTTTTTTGGTACCAGGGATTGAACTCACAACTATGTGCTTACCAGGCAAGTGCTTGAGCCACTGAGTTAAATCCTCAGCTTCTCCCTTTCTTTCTTTCTTTTTTGTCTTTTTCCTTTTTATTGGTACCAGGGATCGAACCCACGACTGTCTGCTTGCAAGGCAGGCGCTTATACCGCTGAGCTAAATCCCCAGCCCCTCTCCCTTTATTTCTATGACCTAACTCAAGGTAGACGATACTAGCAAAGTAGCAAGACAGAAAGAGTTTCCAATAATTAGTTCCCATGAATGAAAACTCGTTATGTTCCCAGTAATGAGACACCTGCACCACTAAGGTATCAGGACTGTGGTCTAAGACTTCCTGTGCAACTTTTTAATCCAGAATTCTTGTTCAGGGAGATTAGTTCATAAACCCATAGTTCAATCCTACTTTGTTTCAGGAAATCCACAAAAAAGAATTTATTTCAACCAAGATTGCTCATCTTGGGAAATAACCCCCCACCCAGACTGATAGATTGCTCTCCTGGGCAAAGAGCTCACTTATCAAGTAGCTGATTACTTAATTACTTATCATGACTCAAGATCTCATTGTATCCTCCACGCCTGAACCATTAAATAGCAAGCTTGGCCCCATCCTTTGAGATCCCAGCAGCGATGGACCTGCCTTGGACTCTGGAGCCACAACAGCCAAATCCGGAAAGAACTGCTTAGACCCTAGGCTCTGACATACCAAGAGTGTCCTCACCTGGGCTTTGGTTTAGTAGGTTGCTCTGGTTACAGTTACAGGTTACGGCAGTTGACAGTGATCATGGGAGTGCTTTACCAGCCCTGGACCTCGTTCACATCAAAGGGACTTAAACTTCTATTTTGTCACTTTTACTTTGGGATTTGGTCACTGGCAGTCAAACCTGACCCCAACACACCTCCCTCTACCTCCATCTGTGCCACAGCCAACCTTATGACTCACAGTGGCTGGCCCATAGTGAGAGCTTCTTGCACACGTGTGAAAAGCGTGAAGACTGGGTGTCTTCATGTAACTCGGGCACACTGATCTGTAGAAATTCTTATAGATGTTGGATACCAGCCTGATCAAACTGACTTGAAAACAATCAAACAGAAGCCATGAGTGTAGTTCAGTGGTAGATCAACTACTGAGCATGCTTGAAGCCTGGGTTCATTGTCTAGCATCACCACCATCACTATCACAAAAAAAAAAAAAAAAAAAGAGGAATCATAAGGTACACATCTAAGTTGGGTGTGGTGGCACACACTGTAATTCCAGCACTTGGGAGGCTGAGGCAGGAGGATCATTGTGAGCCTGAGGCCAGCATGGGCTACAAAGTGAGCTCAAGCCAGCCTGAATTGCATAGTGTCTCAAAAAAACAAAACAAAACAAAAAACAAATAAATAAATGGAAATTGGTTCATATATTTTAGAGCTATAGCTATTTTTTAAGACTTTTTATAAAATATCTTTTGTAATTATAGTTTAGTTTTTTACTCTGATAGTGATAAACTGTATCTTTTGTTCAAAACTTTTTTGCATGAATAATTTTTTGGATGGATAATTTCAAGGATATTCAAAAGTGGATGGAATAATATAATGAACTGTTATCAACTTGTAGCAAATCTTGGTTCATGTATACTTTTGTATTTCTTTCTCCATCTGAATTATTTTGAAGATAATCTCATGCATCATTTGTTGGAGAGCACTGAAGCTGAGTACACATGCAGGGCTGTGGTGTGGCGTGGGCCTGATTGAACTGAGAATGAGGAGACCCTTCAGGGGGCAAGACAGGCCACAGCTGAGGCCCCTGGAGACTTTCTAGATAGTTTTCCTTATTAGCATCGTCTGTTGCTCTGAGGGGTCCTTGAGCCCCTCCCAAGGTCCTACTCAGATTTCCTCCATCGTCCACTCAGCTCCTTGCTTGTTCTGATTAAATACGGGCTGCCCAGGGTCAGTCACCTGGCCGGCTAGTAGAGTTATGAGCTCTGCCGAGGATTTCACTCCTCTGCAGCCCTAAAGACCATGCCGTGTGTCTCATTCTTTGAGCCTTCGCCGTGCACCCATTTGGGGGATTGGAAGTCTAGGTATAGACCCTAACAATTATATCATTTTATCCCAAAATATTTCATTATGTGTGCCTGAAACAAAAAGCTGGTTTAATTTTTTTTCTTGGTGGTGCTAGGGATCAAATATCTCTAATTAAAGCTAGTTGGAGCTATATACATCTATGTATCTTTAAGGAATACTGAATATAATTCTATTATCTAAGAATCAATAATTTCTTTTTTTTTATCAGTATCAGGGATTGAACTCACGACTGCAGGCTTGCAAGGCAGGCGCTTATGCTGCTGAGCTAAATCCCCAGCCTCAATAATAATTTCTTAATACAACTGTTTGTTCAAATAATGCTTAAATTAGCCTATCCAAAGATATTTTTACTAAGCCAGACGTGAGGCTCCATTCCAGTAATTCTTGGGCTCTGAGAAGGTGAGGCAGGAGGATCACAAGTTTGGGTCCTGCCTGGATTATTTAGCAAGACCCTGTCTGGGGAAAAAAAAGAAAAGAGAAAAAAAGGTTATGTATATAGCCTTGTGTGAAGACTCTGGATTCGATCCCCAGCATCAATTTTTTTTTTTTTTTTTTTTTTTTTTTTTTTTTTTTTTTTGGTGTTGTGGCTCGAACTCTCGATCTTCTGCTTGCCAGGCAGGTGCTTACACCACTGAACTAAATCCCTGGCCCTCATATATGTTTCAAAAAAACGTTTTTACTATTTTATTTCTTCAAATCGAGATGGAAATAAAGTTCATATATTTCAATTGACTGATAAGTGTTTTTCTTTAAAGTTTGAAAGATCATGTGTCATAATGTATGGCTCAATAAATCTTCCATTTTTTTTTTATTATTTGTTTGAGGGCACTTTTTAGATTGTTTTCCACGGTGTCATTTAGCTTGTACCTTTATTTTCTATTTCCTGTTAACATGTGACTGTGTCTAAAAGAGACTTAGTGGAGATGCATTTTGGCAAGCCCATTTCACTGCGAGGTTTTTTGTTGTTCCAGGGATCAGATTCACAACCTCACACTTTCTAGGCAGGCGCTAATGCTGCTGAGCTAAATCCCCAGCCCACAAGCCCATTTCAACGAATGCTGTTTTTTCAAGGCTACCAGGAGGCTCATCTTACGTGAGCTGTGTCTTTTTCAAAGCATCTTTTGAAGGTGGATGTGACTTGCACACAGGCAAAAGTCAGTCAGACTAAGTTTAGTAAATGAAGGTGATCAAGCTGGAAAATGACGGTTTGAGTTGAAAAACAAGATGCGATCAAGTAATGAATGATTTGCTTGTGTGGCTGGTAAACAGGCCCTGAAAGGAAATTCCAAAACAGTTCCAAAACTGTTGTATGCAATGGTCTGCCTCAAACATACAGCCACCCCGAGTGACTCATGTGAATGGAACAACAGTGACACTGACGGGGAAACTGTATGTTGGTCACGGAAACAGCTTCGCCGTGTGGGTGGAGGTGCCAGGTGTCCCTTCTATGGACCCCTGGATGTCTCAATATGTGAAGTGACACAGGCTTTTTCAATGGAGCCAGGACTGATGCTCTTTTGCTGAAACGCGAAACTCCACAGCAGCTCATTGAAGACTCACGCTTCCTGTCTCCGTGCCACCGCACAGCCTCGGTCTACAATAGCTGTCCCGATGGCTGACTGAGATCGGTGCAGTCTTCCCCTTCACCCTGGTCTTTGCTTCCTCTCCATCCCCCTGCGAGTCTGTGGTCAGTGCACGTCAACAAAAAATGAGGAAGCTCAGGGGGACGCTCCTGAGGCAGAAGAGTCCCGGGCAGCAGCGGAGCGGGGGAGCTGAGGTACTCGGTGGGCTCTCGAACTTCCCTGTCCCAGCTCTCCCGCCAGCACCTCAGCTCTTTGTGCCTCGTCCCCCCCCCTCGCGCTTGGTACCCGCGAGCCCGCCCTCTCGCTAATGCCCCGCCCCATGACGCGCGCAACTGGGAGGAGCCACGGGGCCGCCTGCCGGTCCTCTGGCTGGAGCCTAGGTGGCTCGGAGCAGACCTCCTCCAGCACTTCTCCCTTGCCCTCTGGAGATGCGCCTGCGCAGTTCAGGTCCAACCATGTTGTTACTCCTTCCCTCCCTAGCAACCGCCCCCCCTCCCGCTTCCACCTACTCTGCCGCGTCTGCGCACGCGCGCTCCTTCCGGCGCTCGGCCCCGCCCTCCCCGTCACCGTAACAACCATTCCAGCCCTCTCCGCGCCCCTCTTTGCTCCAGTCCTAGCACCCCTCCCCCGAGCCGGCGGTTTAGTGGCGGCCGCCGAACGGCGGAACGGCGAGGACACCGCGGAGCCGCCGCCATGAGCGCCCCCCACCGCCCCGAGTCCCCGGCTCGGCCTTTCTGACACGAGGTAGGCGCGCATCGCCGCGGCGGGCTCCGAACGCGCCCCCGGCCCCGCCCGCCGGCCCCGCGCCCCCCGCGCGGCCCCCGCATTCTCCTGGCCTCCTGGCCGGGCTTTGCGGCCCCGAGCGCGAGCCGGAGCGGGCCTCGCACCCCACCCCGCCCTGCCGGGCCCCCACTCCTTGGCGCCCGCCCCTAGCCGCGGGAATAGTTGGGGTCGGCGGCAAGCCCCGGCCCACCTCTGCCGCGATCGGCCGCTTGGAACCCCTCCGGAGCCCCAGAGCCTGAGGGAAGGGGGCCACCGGGTCCTGTGCTTGCTAGATGTTGAAGTAGGACAGCCCTGGTTCTGGATGCCACTCGGTCTTGGTCACTCCGGATGCCCGCGCAGGGTGTTTACTTGAACCTGAGCATCCTAAGCTGGGAACTGGCCGGGGTTCAGAGAAGTGGTGAATTAGCAGGTTCTTCTATGTAGTCGCTTTGGGCTCCGCCACGCAGTGGAATCCGGAATGGATGTTACAGTTTCTTCAGCGAGCATCACGCGTTCTCGCATTCTCTTCCTACTCCTGTCTGTACCCGGTAATCATCCTCTTATCTAGCAGCTGCCTTAAAATTAATTTCCCAGTTAAAATTTAAAAATCTTACTAGGTTCCCACTTTGTACCAGCATTTTGTACCGTTGGCAAAAGTAAACACAACCTGGTCCCTGCGCACCAGGACGTGTAAGTCCCAGAATCAAGATTAATGTAGGTTTCCTTCTAGTCGAGTTGGGAGGACAGCTTGGAGTTTCGCCGAGATTTTCATTCACCATGTTAGAGCTGGCCGCGTTTCAAGATCCACAGTTCCAAACCTTGGTTTTCACAGACGGCATTAGGGAAGAAAAGTGGTTTGCTCCAAGTCGCTCTGTTATTCCTTAGTCGTTTTCTGACTGGAATAGTTTGTTTTCCAGCATAACCTGCACCTTCCCGAGAGGTATAGAGAAAGTTCCAGATCCGTTTAAAGTAAACATCGTGGAAATGCAGTAGTACAGATTAGCAGTTTTGTGAAATAAAATACATCGTCATCATTTCTTTTTTAGTTTTTTACAGCTATGCTTTGGGATCTTTGAGGATATTCACTTTTGTACTTTTGAATATCCTCTCGCCATATTCAGCATAGAATAACACTCTTAATGATTAACCTCAGCAGAACAGGTAGGCTCACTGGATTTAATTTGTTCCTGTTTTTTTTTGTTTTTTTGTGTTTGTCTTTCTTCCTCATTTTTAAATAAACAAGAGTCCCAGATAACTCCAAACACCACTGTGCCTTTTCAGAAGAATCCACGTAGGCTGGCTCTGGAGAGTGATTATGTAGTTTCAGTAGCGATTCTGTGCATGTAGGAGTGGGGGCAATGGCTGACTTAACAACCGTCACTGCTGGCAGAGGCCTGAGAATACAGGGCCCCCCTTTATCCTAGGTGCTTGGCCCCCCTGCCATTTGAAGACAGTCTCTGGTATTGTAGTCTACGAAGAAAACAAGAAACAACAGTTCCCTTTAAAGCTAGCTTTCAAGACAAATTTCCATAATTTGAGACAACAGTAATTTTTTTCCCCTCTAACTTTCATTTTTGTGTATTTTCCAGAGCTAATATCTGAATGTGTTATCTTTTTAAATTTGACTCTTAGTATGAATTCTTCATGAGAAAGTGATTAGGATAATAGAACCCTAAAAGCACTTTATTGCTGGACAGTGTCAAATCATTTAGCCCACTTGAGCGGACCAGGGCTGCTGTGAGGCGGGTGGAGTTTGCTTTCCCTCATGGAACGTGGGCTTCTTGCCTGGTTTTTAGTTGGTTTACCAACTCCCCTTGCGCCTGTGTATTTGCGTATCTCTTGATTTTGGTTTTGTGTGGTGCATTGTGGGCCTGTTTCACTCTAGAAGATGGTGATGTGTAATGCAGGTTTAATTTTTTTCCTGTATCTTGCTTATTGGTCACGTATGTTTATGTTTTGCAGGTGTGAGAGGGTTGCTGTTGTACTGCAATCATGGTGCAGAAATACCAGTCACCCGTGAGGGTGTATAAACACCCCTTTGAATTAATTATGGCTGTAAGTACTCTATGTATTTTGCTTTACTCTCTGGCTTCTTATTTTTTTCAGTATTAGACTTTAATTATCTGTAAACTTACATTCATTGTCTCCATTCACTGAATTCTGTTCTTATGCTTATAAACTGTATCTAGACTATGTAACACATTTTTATTTTTTAATTAATTGATTTTTTTGGTGGTACTGGGGATTGAACTCATGACCTTGTGCTTGCCAAACAGGCACTTGTGCTGCTGAGCTAAATCCCTGGTCCTGTAACACATTTTAAAAATACAAAACCTCTGAAAATCAAAATCTGCACTTTTTAAAAAAAGTGCACATCAGAGTAATGTGTGGATTTGTGTTAATTCTCCTTTTGAAAACACAGAAGTGGGATTATGACTAAATACTTCTTGTGAATTTTGCTGGTTTTCTTTGGTTTTTTGAGACAAGGTTTCACTTTGTAGTGCAGGCTGACCATGAACTCAGGATGTCCAAACTGGCCTTGAACTCTGGGCTATCCTCCTGCCTTGACCTTCCAAATCTTGGGATTAAAAGGCATGCACCACACCTGGCTTACCGTTTTTCTTTGTTAAAGTAACAAAGGGATGTGAAGTGTGTTTCTTGCTTCTGCTGCTAGTTTGAAGGGGAGCTTTGGGCATAGGTGGGTGTCTCAGGTGTTTTCAATTACTTTTAAATCCCTATAGAATATTCTTCCCCTTTTGTGTTATTAAGGAACTATCTGTCTGTCTGTCTATCGTTTCTAAATCAAATTTAGTGGTTCAGGTTCATTGTTGATCTTCTGGAGAAATTTGATTCCCATCTTGTCCAATTTGGTTTGCAGCTAGAATCATGGAAAGAATTTAAGTTTCTGAACTGAGGCACCACCATACATGTGATTCATACAGGAAAAATGCATCTATTGTGAACATGCATATTATTAGACAGAACACATACCTGTGTTACTAGTGCTAAGACTGGGAGCAGAGCATGAGCAGCCTGGTAAGAACTCGTGCTCTGTGCCTTTGTCCCCACCCTGTCCAAGCTGTTGCTCACCATGACAGTGTGTCCCCAGCCCTTATCTTCACCCTCTCCAAGTGAGCCCTGATCTTGTGTTTCAGCGTCAAAGATGACTCGTGCCTGTTTCCGTTCTTTATATAAATGGAAACTCAGGTGTTTTGGATCTGGCTGCTTCTGCTTAGTATTATGTTTATGAGATTTGTCTAGATCAATGAAGTCTTGAAAACCAAAATAATGGGCTGGAGATGTAGCTCAGTGGCTCAGTGCTGGCCTAGCATGCACAGCACTTTTTAGCATCACAAGAAAAAAAAATTCAAATCCTGTCAAGGTAACAAAGGGACGTTCAGTTACTTTTAAGATCGAAGTATAATTTTATACAGTGAAATACAGTTATTAACTGCACACTGTCAACTTTTTTTTTTTTTGTCTTTTTCATTTTTTTTATCAGTACTGGGGATCGAACTCACGACTGCCTGCTTGCAAGGCAGGTGCTTATGCCGCTGAGCTAAATCCCCCCCCCCCCGGTCAACTTTTAACAAGAGTCACCCATGCCTTTAAGACAGAGCATGTTTTCATCCTTTGGCCAGAAGGTTTCTTAACCCCTTCCCTGTGACCTGTGAGCCGTGTTTGTGTGTGGGATACGGACATTTCTTAAAAACAGGTCTGCCTTGCCTTTCAGTAGGGGTGTGCAGTGTTCTATGTAGTAACTTTTATCAGAAGGGTGGTTTCCTATCTGCATTTTGCCCTGTGTGGATTTGGCTTTGGCCATGTGCAGCCAGTTTGAAAGGGGGTTTGTTAGTGGTGACACATGTGGTTGATAGGAATCACGCAGAAGTGGAGAAATTCCAGCTGGGACAGGCTGCAGCCTGGCAGTGGAGGGTGGTGGTTCCTGGCAGTTCTGGGGCTCCTGCAGCAGCTGTCCCTGGGACTTCACCCAGCAGGGCCTGTCGCACTCCATAAGCAGAGCCTTTTTGTCCTGCCACCAACTGGTTTCTCTGTTCACTTGAGTTTCCCCTCCCCTGTGGCTTTAGCTCATGTGCTTTCTCAGCTGGCCGGAACCCTTCTGGCTCTAGTTCAACTTTGTGGCATTTCTTGTGTTCTCAGTTTCTAGGTGACCTGTTCTGGTCATGTTTCCTAGTTGACATGTGGGAGAGCTTCGTTCTGGCTCACTTCTTCCCCTGGACCTGGTGAGGGCCTGGAGGACTCTCTGAGGGGCTTGCCTGACCTTTGTTTATTTTTGCAGGCTGTGGGGAGGGGGTGAAGAAGTGTCCTATAGGGCAGAGGGGCAGGTGACCTGTGAAGCAGAGCATCTTGTCTGCCTGCTGTGGAGGGTCTGACACAAGGATCCGGCTGGCCGTGGTTTCCAAAACCTTACATATGATTTGAAAATCAGGAGGTGTCCTAATAATTCACAAACTGGTCTCTTATCCCCACACTAGGTTTAACAGGGAGGCGTTTTGATTGTGTAATGTTCAGCACTTCCTTATTTCTTTTACTGTGTTTGAAACTGAAGTTTGCATTGCCAATTCTGTGCGCTAACTACAAAAGAATGCAAAATTCAGATTGTGAACTGACCCTGGTCTTATAAAATTAAGCCGTTTGCAAATTGCTTTTTAAGTAGTGTTAATTTTTTCTTAAATTGTTGGAAAATATTTTTAACCTGAAACTGAAATATGTTACCTTCTCCTTCCAAAACTAGAGTGTTTGTGAAGCAGTTACGATTTTTGAATGATGTAATTTGTCACCCCCCCCCCCTTTTTTCCTTTTTTTGGGGAGTATCAGGAGTCAAACTCAGGACCTTGTGCTTGTCAGGCAAGCACTGTGCTGCCGAACTATATCCCTGGCCCTGGCCCTTTTTCTGAAGGTAATTGTGTGGTGTAACATCCTTACTGCTTCACTTTTTTTTCTCATTGAGAAAAAACAATAGTGTATTAGAATTACTCTGAAATGTCCTTTATAGTTCATTACTCACTGTGAAGAAGTACACAGTTAAGGTGAGGGCAAAACTGTAGGTTTTAAAAAATTTATCATTATTATTTTTTTGGTACCAAGAATCAAACTCTGGGCCTTGTGCTTGCCAGGCATGAGCTATGGCCTTGACTGAAGTATTTGTGACAACCTCAAAAGGGTGCTTCAGTGATTCCCAGGGCATTGCACAGTCTAAAGGAGTGTCTGGCAGGTTGTAGGCATGCAGTAATGGGCAGGTGCGTGTGAGTCCTAATTTATGTGAGTTCTAATGGGTGACAGGTGGGGAGAAAATGAACTGACCCAACTTAATGCTCTTTTTGGTATTTATTTTTGGTCTTTCTGAGACAGGGTCTTGCTGTGCGTTTCAGGCTGGCCTTGAGCTCACTTTATAGCCCAGGCTGGCCTCAGACTTGCAATGATTCTCCTGGCTCAGCCTCTTGAGTGCTGAGATTACAAGAGTGCGCCGCCATACTTGGCTTTTTTTTAACAAAAATTTAATTATAATTTAGGATTGACAGAAAATTATTTAGATAGAAAGCGCCTAATGTGACTAGTTAGAGTCAAACACGTGAATTGCATCTCGAAGGATTTGATGCAGATTTACTGTTTGTTTTGGAATCAGTAGTGTTAAAAGTCATATTCTCATTAACTCATTTGAATTAATGAATGGTATTTAAGCAAGCAAAACTGAAGGGGAGGTTTCTAGCAGGTGTCTGCAGGATTTCAGGGTAATCCTTTAGTTAGATATTGGCACAGAAGAAGAAAGCTAGGCGGCAGTGAGTAGGAGAAATTGCTGAGCTCAACCCTGCTTTGAGGGTTGAAGCATCTGAGACCGAGGAGGTAAAACTTGCACTTTTTTTTTTCTGTGGTACCAGGGATTGAGCTTACAACCTTGTGCTTGCCAGGCAGGTGCTTATGGAAACCCTGCACATTTAGTGGCAGAGATTTGATTAAGTTTAGTGTTGTTTTTATCACCCTGTGCACCTTTTCCCCCCCTGGTAATGTGTATCCTGAAGCATTTTATGAAGGCTCTTGTCCATAGATATCTTTAAATCTTTTTTTGTTTTTTGGTACCGGGGATTGAACTCATGACCTTGTGCTTGCCAGGCAGGCACCTGTGCCACTGAGCTAAACCTCTGGCCCATCTCTAAATCTTGTAGCATCAGCCAGATGTATTTCATTTCCCATAGCTGCTTTTCCTGGCTTGTGGGGAGGAGAAATGAATCCAAAAAGGCCACTCCAACTGATTATGCCTTTAAACCGTTTATGGTCTCCCTGGGCTCTGGGGTGTGCTCCGCAGATTGGGAGCTTAGAGTTGGAAACGTACCTCCTAGTTGCTTGGTTGGAGTGTTTTATCCTGAAATTTCTAGGGTAAAATACAGGTTTGAAAGCTCAGGCACTTGAAACTTAGAGTGCAGCCCTTTCTTCCCGTTAAGGGTTCCCTGGCAGAGAATGATTGAAGGGAAGGCCTGAGAGCCCTCCCTGGCTGATCTTTTTTCTGCTGGGAGCAGCTGTCACTTTGGTAGGTTGGACACATGGTAGAAGAGGTGCTTGTGGTTTCTGTGTGTCATAGACCTCGAATCCTTGTCCTTTTCCTTTCGTGTCCAGGCCTTTCATGAACCTCGTGCCTTCCTTCCCTACCTGGCCCATCCCCGAGTCCCTGTTCTCTCAGTCTTGATGTCTCCCAAACCCCTTCTTCCTCCCTGTCCCCGTTGGGTCTGTGTAGCCCGAGGCCGTCTCTCAGCAGTTACCTGTTAGTTTCCTCCCCGCATCACTGGACCTCAGGTCTGCACCCCAAAGCAGCGTGTGCACTCTCCACTCTGCGGAGGTGGTTTCCTCCTGCCTGGCCTCTCACCTCTGCACCGTTTTCCCTTTTCTGCAGGGCCCTGCCTGCCTCTGTTGTGCCTGCCTGTTGCACAGTATTCCATAGATGGTGTTCCGTGCTGTCCTGGGCTGCCCAGCCTTCCCTTTGTACTCCCGTTCCTCAGATGGTTGCCTTTCCCCATCTGCCTCTCCAGCTCTTGTTCCTTTTG